GCCTGAGTGGAGTTGGACTGGAACTGGGGCTCTCTTGCTAACTGACTGGACCTGTGGGGCAAGGAGTGGCTACTCCTTGTGTGGGGCGGGAGGAGACCAACTAGGTGCACAGGTGGAGGTAGCTCTGTGGCCCAGGAGCCTGGCATCAACAGTTGGGCCTAGGTTTGAGGAGGGTCACTAGTCCTGGGGGAGAGGGCAGGCAAAACCCTGGTATTGGGAGGCTGTACTTCAGGAAGATATCAGATTAGTTCTCTGGCAGTGGGTTGTGAGAGTGGGGTCCAGTAACCGATAATGGGGAGCAGCACAGAGTGCAGATGTCACACTCTGAGCTGGTGAACACAGGTTTGGTGGAAAGGGCACCGTGAAGGTCTAGGAGGCAAGGGTTTGTTCCCCTAAGCTTTGGGCACATGCATGAGTGAATCAACAAATCTATCCATAAGCAGGTGCCAGGTGGGGGTCTGGGCTGTCTGCAGGGTTTCCAAGGTCATGTAGGTGATAATGACATGGCCCCAGTCTGCAGGATTCTGTGTCCTGTTAGATTGATGCTGGTAACAAATTAGACGCTGTATGGTGTGTGACAATAGGCGGGGCACCAGGTGTCAGTAGCTAAGCTGGAGTGATAAGGTTGATTTGCTATGACTTCTCCTGGGGGGTGGAGGTGGGCTGTGGCCCCAGGGGGGATTTTGAATGGTGACTGGATTTAGAGACTCTAATCTAGGGCGGTATTAAGGTGTCTACCACATTTCAGTGGGTCATTATCTTCTTGGATTTTCAGTACCTCTAAAAACACCTGTTTGGTGTAATTCTGGAAGGTGGGCTAAGCCTGTATTTTGTTGTTAATTAAATCACATTTTGATTGCCCTAGTGGGGGCTGGGTGCTTTAAGAAACCGTGGTAAATCCTCTTGTTAATCAAAGAATCTTTTTGTAATGTAAATGATAACACTCCTGATCTCTGTTTTGTTTTGTTTTGTTAAGATTACACTGCATATGTTTATTTCCATTAAACACTCAAAAGGGACTTTTGGGGAAATTAAACAAAATTTAGTTTGGGAGTTCTATTTGCAAACTCTGGATACCTATTGCAATCTCTGGAGACCCTCAGGGTGGTCCCCAACTGCAAGTGGGAATTAATACCTTTAATGAAGAAAGGATTCAGAGCAAGAATCAGATTTCCTCTCCCCCACCACCCCCTGCCCTGCTGTGGCTGGTTCAGTCCATCTCTATCATCTCTATGAGCATTTTTTTTTTTGATGTGATAAAACAGAAATAACATCAAATTTATCACTTTAACTGTTTTTAAGCATACAGTTCTGTGGCATTAGGTACCTTCACCGCCTTGTGCAGACACCAGCACCACGCATGCCCAGAAGTTTTTCATTTTCTCCAACCCATTAAACACTAAATCCTCCACCCACCCCTGGCAGCCACAGCTCTTCTATCTCTGTGCATTTGACTACTCCAGGTATCAAATGACACTTTTTAAACTTCACTTTTATTTTAACCACATATATAGAGCTTTGTGAAAGTATCAAATAATTCTGTAAGACTTGTTATAAAGGAGGCTGAGTCTCCTACCTATTCCTCCTGACCATGTCGAACTCTCTGGCAATGACTGTATTGAGTTCTTTTAGCCTTGGTATTAACATCCATAAACTTAATAAGGTGCTTACATTGCTACTCCTTGATTGCTCAACTTGAGGCATTTTCTATCAATTTTTCACTATGTAAAATAAGAATTTAGCATTCCCATATTTCCTTTAAAGTATGTTTTATTGTGAAGCATAGCACATATACATACAAGTGCCTGTATAAAATGTCCATGGCGGGCCTCCCCGGTGGCGCAGCGGTTGAGCGCTGGATTGCGAAGCTGCCTGCAGCCTCTGCGGCGCTGGTTCGATCCCCGGCTGCTCCCCGGCCACCGGAGGAGGGTCCCACATGGCGCGCAGACCTCTCCTGCCGCCTGCTGCTCCCCTTAGCAGTGTACTTTGGTCCTTCTGCCTGCTCTGCTCCCCACTCTGGTTCCGGTGAATTCTCTCACCCTCCCCCGCTTCTGACTGTACCCAGTGCTTGTATAAAAAATAATAATAATAATAATAAAATAAATAAATAAATCTTTAAAAAAAATAAAAAAAAATAAATAAAATGTCCATGGCCTGTTAAAAATAAAATTGAATCTTTTATCCACCATTCAATTTAAGAGCAAGAACATAACGTGACTTGAGAAACCTACAGTATGCCCCTCCGTTGCACACCCATCCTTCCCCCTCCGAAGAAAACACGAATCATTGCAATTTCCTTCCTTTTCTTTATAGTTATGACGTTTGTGCATATTCCTAAACAATCTATTGTTTACTCTTACATGCTTGTGAGTGTATATAAGTGGAAACATATGGTGCATGTTCTCATTTGGTTTCTTTCACTCCACCTTAGGGTTTTGAGGTTCATCCAATTGGGTGCATGCAGCTGAGGCTGTTCATTCGGTGTCTGTGCTCTGCTCCAGCCTATCACATGGCTGCATCGCCATCTAAGTATCCAGCCTTGTATGTCTATCTTGGTGTGCGTGTGCAAGAGTTTCTCCAGGGCATATGGCTTATGGCTGAGGATGAACTTGTCAAGGCACAGAGTGGCAGTACATTTTCAGCTCTGCTAGGTAACAAGTCATCTCCACATCATTTTGGGGAGAATGGATGATTTCACAACATTGAGTTTTCTTATCCAAGAATACAGTATGTCTTTTGATTTATTTAGAACTTCATCATTTTCCAATAAAGTTATATAATTGTCTCCAGGGAGGATTGCACATATTTGTTAGAATCATTCCCAAATACTTTCCTATATTAAATATTCTTGGGGAATTAAAAGTAGTATCATTACATAGTGACCTCCTTACTTCTGATACTACCTCTTTTCTTAAATTTTATTTTATCTTGCATTAATGAAGCTACAGATACTTTCTTTTGATTAGTATTTACCTGGAATATTTCTCCTATCTTTGACTTAGTTTCTCTTTGTTTTTATGCTTTAAGCCTGTCTCTTGTGGGTATATCTAGCTAGGTTTAGAAAAATCTATTTCGATAATTTTTGTCTTTAACTGGAGGGTTAAACGCATTTACATTTAGTACAATTGAACGTATGTTTATGTAAGTTTTTTATGTCCTTGTTATTTGTCCTACTTAAACATTTACTTTATTTTACTTCTCATCTTTTCTTGGTTCATTTCTCCCTTTTTCTTCTCATTTCATCTCTATTGTTTCTACCTTTTGGATATTATATGCTCCATGCCTAGTCTTTTAATTGTTACTCTAGTAACTGGAACATGCAGACTAACAAAGTATAAAAAATTATCAATGTCTACTCATTCTCCCAACAATCCACAGAATTTTAAGCCACAAACTCTGATAACCCATTTGCAGCTAATGTGAAATTATTGTCCAGAATTTAAAATCTTGGTGCTAGGTGACCTGGGGAAAAATATCCCCTGAGAACCCATAACCACAAGTGAGCCCCCACATGACTTGGTGGTCTACATCTATGTTAACTATGCAGTCATAAAACTCCAACAATACCAAAACCTCATGCAAATAATCTAATTTAGAGACAATCTTCAAAATAACTGGGATAAGAAAAGATCACCTACTAAGAACAATTAATAGACTACTCAATTGCCTTTTAATAGCAAAAATTGAAGCCAGAAGACTGTGGGGTAATGTTTTCAATGTGTTGACAAAAACAGAAATCAACCTATAATTTATACCCAGTAAAACTCCTTGAAGAATAAAAGCAATATAATGCATTTTCAAATAAATAGAAAACAGACTAGTATCCTAAAGGAAAGTTAGGCTTCAAACAGAAGGAAAATGGCCCTAGATAAGAGGATATTCTCAGAGAAAGATCAAAACCTTTAGGGTTCAGAGAACTCTGAAGGGCAAATTTTGCTTATCTCTTACCTGGCTTTGACTTTTTTTTTTTTTTTTTTAATTTATAGACTCTTACTTGCATTCCAGCCCAATGATGCCTTAAAAATGGTTATTAAAAATATTTTATCCAGCATTATTTTTTAGTTGTTTCATTTGAGCAGGATTGGTTAGATAGTCTAGTCTACCCTCCTGCAGGAGACAAAAGACCCCAACAAAACCTCCCTGTCCCTTCGGGCTCCATGAAGTTCATTTACCTATGCCCAAGACACCTTTTACCTTCCTGTTATTGCAGCCACATTTTCACATTGACATATATATTTAAATACTTTAATTGTCTACTCACATGACTCAAAACCTAAGAGCCAGGTCTCTATTGCTCCCTATTTTTATTCGTGTATCTGTGCAAGTATCTGGCACGTAGTAGGCATTCAGTAGATATTTATTGAGCAAATCATTAGATGAGCTATTAATTTTGAGTGAGAAGCCAATACTAAGTATTAGGTCAAGCACAGTCGTGTCTCCACCTCAAATCTAGTCATTGGCCGCTGTCTCTCAGGACCGGCAAATTCCCGTAGAACTACGCCTTCAAATGTAGTAGCCACTACTCACTTGTGCTTACTTGAATTATTTAAATGAATTTAAATTAAATGAATTTAGGGCCTCTCCTGATGGCGCAGCGGTTGAGCGCTGGGCTGCGAAGCTGCCTACAGCCTCTGCCGCGCCGGTTCGATCCCTGGCTGCCGGCGAAGGTCCCACATGGCGCACAGACCTCTCCTGCTGCGCCTGCTGCTCCCCTCAGCAGTGTATTTCGCCAGTCTGCCTGTTCTGTTGCCCCGCTCTGGCTCTGGTGAATTCTCTCACCCTCCCGTGCTTCTGACTGTACCCAGTGCTTGTATAAATAAATAAATAAATAAAATCTTTTTAAAAATTTAATTAATTAAATGAATTTAAAACTCAACTCCTCCATCATACTAGCCATGTTTCAGGTGGCTAATGGCTTTCCTATTGGACGATGCAGGCATGGAACTTTTCCATTATCACAGAAAGTTCTATTGGAAGTGCTGCCATAGAATTCTTGAGAATTCTTAACTGAGCCTCTCTTTTTCTTTTGCTCTGGCTCTGGCTCTTTCTTTCTCTCTTCTCACTTCTAAACCAAATAGAAGGATAGTTGCCTTTTTCTGAGTGACTTAAAATGATGCTTTTGAAAAAGAAGATGCTGGGTTCTTTTGGTGACTAACACCATTCCCACTTTTTTCTTTTAAATTCCTGAGCTATTGTTTACTAGCCCATTCTTTTATTTCTATTTCTACTAAAGCTGGACGTTACTTGGGTGGAAAGCGTGATTGCTTTCTTTTCGAGGTCCTTAAGCCCTTTGCTGATGTTACTGTCTGAGAACCCCCAAAGCCAGGCTTCAGGGAGAGATTGGCATGTCTGAACAGCTGAACCACGAAATAATGGAGTAGGTCTGGCGGGTGTGGGGCAGGGCACTCTGTCAATGAAAGAGCTCCCCTCTCTGCACACACAGCTAGCTAATTGGCCATTCTGGGAAAGTATGGACGGGGAGGGGGGCTGCTGAGAATCGCCGGTGACAGTTAAGTGGCCTTTTGTGGACGTCCTCTGCTGAACAACTTTGTTGGATTTTCTGTTAGATTCATCACTTTTCATTCAGGCATCATCTTTTGCTTTCTCCTTGCAATATGACTGCTTTGTGTGCTGGCCTCTGCTTTATTCCCACTCTTCCCAGACCGTAAAGGGGGCTGTGCAGGGCTTCCAGGCTGGAGAAATTGACTCTGCTGTCTGTGGAGAACAATCATAATGACCGAAGTGACCTTCACGTCTAGCAGGAAAGCACCACCTACGCCAGCATTATGGTGACCACCTGAAGACAGACAAAAGGGAATCTTCACTGAATTCCTTCTCAGACAGTATCTATTTCCTTTGTTCTGCTCTCCATTCTCTTCTCTTGCCCTTCTCCCCATGGCAACTGCAGTACTGACCTAAGCTGCAGCTGTGACTAAGAGTTAATGCTTCTGAAATAATAATACGTTACATTTTTGCAGGCTTTGCCAAGTCAATTCACCCAAGCTGTCTCATCTAATAGCCCCCCAAAACCCTGTGAGGTAGGGAGGGGAGGGATTATTAATACCATTTGACTGATGAGTAAACTGAGATTTAGGGGTATCATGGTAATGGCCCTAGATCTCTTAGACAGGAAGTGAGCACCTTCACAGCCTCTCACCCCTGCTTTCTGTCAGTGGTGTCCACACTCTTGTGTGTCAGGAGGATACGGCCCGGGGAGGGGGTGGGTGTTGGGGAGAAGGAGAGTAGAAGAACAGATAAATGAGGAGGGAGGGAACAGTGGTTTCCCTGGGCCTCTCGAGTCGCTCATCGTTCTCCAGAGAAGGGAGGTTTGAGGCTCACAAGAGGCTGGCCCAGCAAACACCCGGGGAGACAAAAAAAAGAGTGAAGGGCCTTGTCTTCTTCTCTCTTTCCTTTTTCCCTGTCCCCTTTCCCCGGGAGGATTCACCTAGAAGTGGGGAGGGGTGGCCCCAGCTCTCCCAAGGCCTGGCGTGTGGGAGCCACACACTGGGTCTCCCCATGCCTCCCCTTTGGAGCCTGATACCCATTGTTGGACTGGGTTTGCTGGCCCTTAGGTGCTGTGCTGTCCTGAGGTCTGGGCCATGGCTGTGTGCCAGGAAAGCCCCTGAAGCTCGCCTGGAGGAAGAAGCATGCAGAGCACCCCTGGACGAGGCCTGGGGCCTGGCCTGGCCCCTGTGAGCAGGCAGATGCTCCTGGTCTGCAGCTTTCTCCTGGCAGCCGCTTGGGGCCAGATGAATTTCACAGGGTGAGTGGCTGCTCCGTAACGGGAGGGAGGACAGCGGGCTAGGGGGCCAATTGTCCCACGGGGGTCCTGCTGGGCCAAGCGAGGTGGCACAGGGAGTCAGGACTGAAGACACTACCGGCTCAGACGCTCACTCACATGCTAATGGGCAGGACAATCACCAGTTCTATGGCCCCTAAATCCAGAGTTCCCCATCTGGGGGTCTCTGGTTAAGCCTTTAAGGCTCCAAGAGACCCTTGGAACTACATGTAACTATTTTGTTCATAGCTTTCCTCAGATTCTTCAAGAAGTTAGAGGGACTATCCCCTCATAGATAGATATGACATTGTCCTCTCAATACAACAGGTGCTGGGACCTACCTCAGGCATCTATGGACGCGATTTCTCAGCCCCCTAGAGACCTTGGTGGTCACTACTCCACACAGGAGTAGGAAGGGCATAGTCTTAGAGAGGGGGTTCATTGGCCAGCTGGTCTCAGCCAGCTAGAAAGAGGGCCAATGCCAGGCATCAGATCCCAGAGGTCACCCCACAATCTCCTCAGTTACTCTACCTCCCACTAGGACTGGAGTCTCTCAGCACCCCGCACCCCCAATCTATAGTGAAGCTGATCCTTTTTCCATGTCCTTAGGCTCTTGAAAGAAGGTAGGAGGGGGCGTGGAGTTCAGACAGACCATGGCCTTGGGTCTTTGTGGGAAGGGCATTTGGGGCTCCCTGTATCTAGTCCTTTTTCTCTTTTATCCTTTGCTCCCCCCTCTTCCATCCTCCACTTTCCCTTCTCATCTTTCTTTCTCTGTCTTGGTGTTGGCTTCGGATGTGTCAGCGACACTGACAGGCTCCTCTAGACCCTGGTGGGCTGCTGGGCAGGAGAGGACTTGTGTGCTTTCCCCCGCAGCAAGCCCTTCTGCTTAGGGGCCCTGCCTCCTGGTGTCAGGGTGGCTCCCAGCCTTCCTGCCAGGTTCCCTAGCCTGGCCCCTTCTCCCCTGCCCTCCTCCGAGCGGACAGCCGGTTCCAGGAAGCCCTCACAACAGCTCAAGCTCCTCCCGTGTCTTTCCAGAGACCAGGTTCTTCGAGTCCTGGCTAAAAATGAGAAGCAGCTTTCTCTTCTCAGGGATCTGGAGGGCCTAAAGCCCCAGAAGGTGAGGAGCCCCCAGAACTGTGCACGTTCGGCCCCCTACCTCACAGAAGCTTGCATCTTTGGCTGCCCCCAGGCCCCAAACCTGCCAAAGAGCTTCCAACCCTGTGGAAAAATCAAACGCGGCTCCTCTTCAGAAGAGGTGGGGAACACTTGCCCAGAGGGTGGGCGGCCCTCCCTGGCTTTCCCTTCCCTTCTGGATTGGGGGCTGCGGAGCAGACCCTGTAACAGGGCTGAGCTGGGGGACTCTGGAAACAGCTGGAATACCCTAAGGCCACACGGGAGGTGCACACATCTCTGGGTGGGATGCCCCGGGGCACGCAGCCTGGACCCATCTGCTTCCCAATTGGAATGGCTTAGCTTGGCAAACCTGTGTTTTATTTGGGTTCATCCCTGTCAGCCCGAGCATTTGCTTCCAAGAACATTTGTCCTCTGCAAGTATCCCACAATGGAAACATTTTCTTCAACTACTATAATAGAAGGGTTTTGTTTGAGAGCTGTTGAAACACCCGCTATTTCTGGCCGTGACCCAAAGCCCAGCATCCTGCGTGCCCCCATCTGCCAAGACCCACAACACTCCATCATAATCCTCCCATGTTACAAATTGAGAAACAGACAGCATTTGTATGGTTTGGGGATTCAGATGGGGCCTCTTCTGCTTCTCCTGGGCTTGTGAGTTGGCGATGTCTCCCTCTTCTGACCGGGGTTCTTGTCCGTATTCATGTCCCAGAGGATGTTTTGGGTTCTCTGGAACCTGGCAAAGTTTCAATGTGTGAGTGAGGCTGGGAGGTGAAGGTGCTTGAAATTAGGGGAAGAAACTCAGTGACTGGGGGAATCTTGTGTATCCTGGTGTTTCTACTTGGCCGTAGGGCTTGAATCAGGGAGCTGGGGCAACTTTAGCCCCTTTCATGGTGTAAGAGAAGACGGCCTGGCTGTCCAGGGGGCCGACAGGAGTGTGTGTAAGGACATGGGATACACGCACTCACTTTTCTTTCTCTGTGGATAAGGTGGACTTCTGGCGTGGCCCAGCCAGGCCCAGCCTCCCTGTGGATATGAGAGTATCTTTCTCGGAACTCAAAGATGTCAAAGATTATCTGGATTCTCACGGCCTTGCTTACAGCATCATGATAAAGGACATCCAGGTGAGGTCCCGCTCCGCCATGGAGACTGAGGTCCCCCCTTCCATACTCCTTTCTGGTTTGGGCCCAACACGGAGGGAGATCATCCAGGCCTAAATGTGGGACGTCTTGTATCTGGAGTTCCCGACGCATCTCTGTGAACCTGTCGTGGAAATAATGAAACCTCATCCTTCTCAGAGGAATGTGAATCTGGGGCCGAGTTGGGGAGGGTCTCATCGTGTGGTGATGGCAAGGTGGCTTGTGGACAGTCCTCTTAGGGGGGACACAACAGAAGGTGGAGGAAGGGAGGCAGCAGGGGAGAACAGGCTGCACGTCTACCCCTGCTTTCCCGGCAGCTCCCCCATCTGTCGTCTCAGCCATCTTATACCAGGGCCCTTGTGAGCACTGCGGTGGCTCCCCTGACCTCTGCCTCCAGGCACTTCTCCGGGACTGGCGGCTGCAGCCCCACCCTGGGTAGGTAGAGGAGAGCCTCCATCCTGGGCATCCCTATCTCCCTCCCCATCACCACTGCACCTCACAGGGTCTCTGCTGAGGGTCATGGAATTCTATTTCGATTGTCCTATCTGCAAGGATATCCCAAGGCAGGGCTCTCCCTCCTTCCTAAAGTGATTCTTTTGGGTTCCGCTCAGCGGTTCAGCTCAGTCTGCACCCCTGGGCAGATGCTGTTGAACACCGTGTACCTGCAGAACCTGCAGAACAGACTGGATCCCAACCATGTGGTGCTGCAGCTAACCTCCAAGTGTGGGAACAGTCTCCTGGAGTGCGCACACTTGACACTGCGGCGAGGGAGCACTCCCTTCCCATGCACACAGGGCTGGGGCGCTTAGGTCCATTCAAAGATCTTTCTCCCTCATCAGGCACATCTGTTTCCCACTCAACATGTCAGGGTGGGCTATTTCTCTCATTGAACCCCCCACAAACAAAAATGGGGCAAATCCCACAGACAAGAGAGGCCACCACATCAAAAGAACTAGAACTCAATTCTCAGTTTTAGCCTCTGCCCGCATTTTGAAGTTTGCCTTTCCCTACTTCTGCCCCACCCTGGAAAGCCTGCAGCATTTGGCAAACAGACATCAAGAGGTCTCTGAGAATTTTCTGTTGATTTCTGCACATCAGGGCCCCCAAGGCACCTCTGAGTCTCCCCCTGGGGAGCTGGTCGTAAGCGTTCTCCTCAGCCTGTCCTCTCCTGGAATCCCGGGAGAGCAAGGAGCTGGGGAGAGCTTTTCACTCCTCTCAGTAAACTGTCCTGGACTCTAACCTCGCCAGGCAGGATTTTCACCAACAGCTCGGGCTGTCTGCTGCTCATCAAGCTCCGACTGTCATCCTTGAGATCACATTTTAGCTGAGAGCGGGGGGTGTGGGGAAGCTGCTGTGTGGACTCATCTGTGGTGATGATGGGGGAAGGTGTCCAGGGAAAGAAAGCTCCGAGGCGCTAACAGGAGGGAAGGGCTTTGGCCCCTCAAGATGCTGGCCTCCGGTCTAATGACTCAGTTACTGATTGCCTCGCAGGCCTGGTCTCTCCCTGTCTCTGCGCCTCCTCAGTCCAGTATTTGGCTTGTTGTCTCCTGTGGGGTGGACCCTTAAGAGCTGTCTGCTGGGTGAACGTCCCCTTGGCAGGAACAGGAAACACTCACCTAGAGAGAAAACTTCCCCATAGGTTGGGCTTTGTCTCCAGAGCCCCTTCCCCAGAGCTCCTCGAGGATGGCCCAGGATGGTGCTCATGGTCTCTCCTCACACCCCAACACCTACTCTAGGATCTGCCGCTTCTAGGGACTTAATGGCTGTTAGCCAAACTAATGGACGTGAGAAGGAAAGGAGCGAGAACAGGGTGTGTGCTTGCTGGGACCAGGCTGAGAGGGGTGTGAGCACCTCATGGCTCCTTTTCACTTTAGCCAGAGTCACCGGGAGAATTTGGGGGCTCCCATCCCCCTTTGTCCCCATCAGAGAGGGATGCTTGAGATAAAACAGGGGGGTTCATTCATTCTGCCCATAGAAGCAGGTCCCTACTGTGTGCTGGGTTTGGGCCAGGGGCTGAAATGCTACAGACAAGTGACCGTCCCTGTCTCCAGGGGAGCCGGGGGGTGGGGGCTGGGAGCGTGGCGGAGAGTAAATCAGTGATGACAATGGAGTGGATGAGTGCGCTGATGGAGTGGAGCGGGTTGCTATGGGAGCGAGTACAAGAGGCACCGCGCGGCTCTGAGAAGGCGGTAATTGCCAGTGCTGGCTGAAGAGCTGCTGGGGGGGCCTGGCAGGGGAAGGGGTGCCCCTCCCCTTGGGGATAAGGCCGGACCAGATCACAAAGGGCATCCTCCACGGGGTGAAGAGGTCGAGGTTTTCTCCCCCAAACTCTGGGGGAGCCATCAGAGGACGCTGACTTGATCAGATTAGCATTTACGAATCCCTCTGACAGTGACAATGTTGAGTGGGGACAGGCGCGGGGAGAGGCTGACAGGCAGGAGGGTGGTGAGGAAATTGCGGTGGGCCAGGCAAGAAATTATCAGATCCTGAGTGAGCTCTATTTGCATTTAATTTTTCTTCACCTCCTCGTATCCCCCCCACCCCGAGTCCTTTAGTTTTTTTTTTTTTTCCCTGGGATGAGTCGCCATGGAAAAGCTTCACTTGAGCAATCAGCTCTGTGGATTTTAATGGCTTTTTTCTGATTACAAAATTAATAAATATTCATGTTCGATAATTAGGAAAATAGGGGAAAGCACAAAGAAGAAAGCAAAAAATCACCCATGCTCTGACCATCGAGGGCAAAATACAATTTCGCGTAAATATTGCTTTACCCATTTCCCCCTCTCTCCTGGATCATTCCCATTAGCATAATATGGAGTTATTTCTCTCAACTTAAAAAAATCCCCTCTTCACCCCTCCCCTCCCCCTGTCCCCCAGCATCACCCCTTTCTCCCCATCCCCCTGGAGTAAAATGGGAGACACTGACTCCACTCACCACCTCTGTCTCGCCCCAGGCCCAAGGGCCCACTGTCCCTGGACAATGTCACACACAGCTCCCGGGTCCAGCCCAGTTTCAGCTCATTGTTCTGTCACCTTTCAGCACAACTGATGTCTCTTCTTTCGGCTTCCGGGACAGCGGACGGCTGGGGTGACCCCCTCTAGCTGGCTGCTCCTCTGCATTTGCCTTTCTGAGCGACTCTGCCTGTGGACTCTTCCTCCTCCTCTGTAATGATGGTGGGGGATACCTCCTAACTCCTGAGTGTTCCCATACTTGCAGCTCCAGTCAGCCCCCCTCTCTCCTGGACTCCAGACTCAGAGCCAGCCGCCTAGGTAATGTGTCCTCCTGGGTGTCTCAAGCTCTGCTGGCCCGCGACCTGCTTGCTTCTCCACTGCCTTCCCCACCTCAAGAAATACCAACACCACCCTTTGGGTCACTCAGATGAGAAAGCTGGAGTCATCCTTAACCCCTTTCTCACATCCTACAGCCAACCCACCAGCCAAACCCATCAGCTCTACCTTCATGGATATACGTCTTCTCACACCTTGACTGTCACCCGGCCAGCACGCCATCAACCTTCCCCTGGATCATTCCAGTGGGGGGTTCTGAATACTGTCCCTGGTACCACCCTTACCTCCTTACTGCCCTGTCTCCAAACAGCAGCCAGAGGAGCTTTTTGAAAGTACGTGTGTCCAGTGACGTTACTCTACTTAAAACCCTCCATGACTTCTCGATTCACCCAGAGTAAAAGTCCTTAAAATGCCTCTAAATTTCTTTCTACCCTACACCTCTCCCCGCATCACTGACTATTTTCTCCTCGATCGCTGGAATATAGGAATATAGGAATATCAGCTAGATATTCCTCGACCTAATCTGACACGTTTCTACCTCAGGGCCCTTGACTAGGCTCACACCTCAGGGCCTTTGCACTTGCTGGTCCTCAGAGCTGGAATGCCATTCTGAAGGTACCTGTATGGTTTCTTCACTTGCTGCTTTCAAAACTTTATTCATGTCACCTTTTTATTTTATTTTATTTTTTTATTTTTTTTTTTTTAGATTTATTTATTTATTTATACAAGCAGTGGGTACAGTCAGAAGCGCGGGAGGGTGAGAGAATTCACCAGAGCCAGAGCGGGGAGCAGAGCAGGCAGAAGGACCGAAGTACACTGCTGAGGGGAGCAGCGGGCGGCAGGAGAGGTCTGCGCGCCATGTGGGACCCTCCTCCGGTGGCCGGGGAGCAGCCGGGGATCGAACCGGCGCTGCAAGGCTGCGGGCAGCTTGGCAACCCCGCGCTCAACCGCTGCGCCACCAGGGAGGCCCACCTTTTTATTTTAAATTGTACCCTTCTCTCCTTCCTCCCTCTCCCCTTTCCACTGCTTCTCTTTTCCTTTTGGTACTTACCACTTTCTAATATTCTGTAGAATTTGTTCAGCACTTGTCAGCTCATTGTCTGTCTCCCCTGCCAAGCTCCGTGAGGGCAGGCAGTTCTGTTTTGTTGGACACCATCTCTATCCCACTCGCCAGGCAGCCGTTCCACCCCTCACTGCAACGAAAATGCCCTCGACGATGTCATACCTAGCTCCTGGGTGCTCAACAAACACTTGTTTGCTGAATAAAAGAAATTAAACTAGTGGAACTGCTGTGTTCTGGGGTGGGGGTAGGTGCAGCTCTGAGGAGGACAGGACAGATAGGTTGGGAGAGCGAGAAGGCAAAGGAAGAAAGAGACAATTGTGAGCAAGAACCTCAGGGGTGAGTCTGGCTGTCCCAGGGGGCCAGGTGTTAGGGGGAAAAGGCGGTCCCAAAGCTAATTCCATACAGGCTTTGTGGACCCAGGTCAAAGCCAAAGACACTGGGAACTCCAAATCCCATCACCACCAAAGGGAAGGTGGCTGGGACCTGAGGGTGGGGTTAAGCAGCCAGGTGGATACAAAAGGCAGACACGTGGGCTTTGGGGCTCTCTCCATTTTGGGGCGCTCGGCCAGCGCGGAGCCTCCGGCCAGCTCTGGGAGTGACTTTGGGTTTCCAGGTCGTCGGATCGGGGTTGCTCTATAACACAGGGACAGGAAAAGGACCCTCCATCGGGAGGGGCAGCCTGACTGTATCCCCACGTGACCCTTAATGCGGAGTCTGCCTTGGGAGTCCTCCTGACACCACCTTCCCGCTGGAGAAAGCCAGGTGTCCAGATCACACCGTGTGATGATTATTCCACCAGAGTCCTGGAGTCACCCCAACCCCAGTCACCCCAACTGCTGTCTTGTCACTGGCATCTTCATAGCTGGCGTTTACCGCATGCTCCGCAGTGATCTAAGCATTTTGTGTGTACTAACCCTTCCAGTCCTCACGGGAACACGGTAAAATAAGTGCTAAAGTGTGTGAGAACATGACCCCCATTATATGAGGGGAAACTGAGGCACAGAGAAGTTAGTCATTTGCCCAAGGTGCTGACGGCCTCAGGATTTAATCTGAAACTGCCTGGTTCTCTGCTCCTGTGCCATCCGCCTCCTGGGTGGTCATCACTGCTGTTTGGGTGTTTTAACTGTTTTCTGGGCAGTGAACACACAGTTCAGCCTGGGCCTCAGGGGGGCTTTCATTCTAACAAGGGGGAATGTGCTGTCGCCCTTCAAGAATGCTTGGATTGTACTTGCCACCCGCCATGAGCTGTTACTACGAATGTTAAGCCTGGATGATACGGCAGGGACCTACCCGGAGAGGTGCCTGCTGGCCGCAGGGAGTGGGGGAAGAGCCCATGTGTCTGTGAGCGGCGGCCTGTGAGCGGCGGCCATTTTACCGTCTGTGGAGTTCAGGCCTCAACATCATCCTCAGGGTCCCCCGTCTCTCCCCCACTAAGGAAGTGCTGATCTTTGCTTAATGTCCCCATCCTTCCTCATCCCTGTCATAAATTAATTCACACCAAGGTATTACTTTCCCTGTCAGGTTATGGCTTCCAGGGAGGCAAATGGCTTACGTCTGAGGTTTTTTTCTTCTTTCTGAGCAGCCTGACAGGACTGTAATTAGGCATTCCTGAGCCTGTGGCAAGATGCGTGCTCAGTTCTCCCATCCCCTTCCCTCAGCTCCGTGAAGGGAGCAAACGTGTGTATTTTTCAGGCCAGGGCAGATTAATATTCCTGGAATTGGGGCGCAGCTGCGAGGGCTGAGCATTCCCAATTTGTAAGCAGGCGTCATATCCATTCACAAGGCTGCTAGGGTGTTTGGAAAGTTATTTGCAGTTTGGTGCCGACTTCCCATTTGCCTCCAAGCTGTTCTGAGGAACAAAGGACACCCCCCTCCTTGGGAGCTGTCTTCCTGTGGGTGTCCCTGGGCTGTGTGGGAAGAGCTAGGGTTTCTGGCCCTTTCTTCCCAGTTTCTCTCTGTCCTTCACATTCACACACAGCTCCGGATGCTCCTGTAGTCCTTAGGAGAGTAGACAGATGAAACTTGTAACTACATTACAGGCAGGACAGAGCTGGGGCCAGGCTGACCCTCACTTGGGGTGTCCTGGCCTGGCCTGCTCTCTCCTCTGCAGCTGCTCTTCACAGCTGGTAGTGGGCAACCAGCACTGCTGGGCACACATTGGTCATGGAGGCCTGTTGAGATTCCCATGGATTTCCTGGGGAGAAGACAAATTCCCTTTGTTCCAGCTTCCCAGGGGGGTGCTTGTGCCAGCAGTGCTGAGGACTCCTCCACCATCTCTAACTTAACCAGCAATTCAGTTTTGCCCAAGTGCAATCATCCCCAGCCTCTCCAATTCATCCCGCAAACGCTGCAATTACAATTGCCTAGCGCGTAGTCAGTGCTCAAAAAGGAAAGAAAATGAGCCTTAAACATCGATTTCCAGTCCCATTTTAAAATCTATAAACCAGAGGGTTGTGAGCCAGCTGAGTGGGGCAGCAGGGTGAGCGAGCCACGGGGCAGTGGCTGTGGCTGCTGCAAGGTGTGTGTGTGGGGGGGGGGGGGGGTGGTGTGTGTGTTTAAGGGGAGCTGGTCTCTTCCAAGCCCGGGACTAAAGGCTCCTTGGCTACAACTTCATTTCAGCCATCAGGGACTTTTGCCTTAGTTTTGGTATTACTAATTCATTTAAAAGATCTCACTCATTGAAGTAGTATAAACACATTGCCAAAACAGAATAGAGAAAAGAAATTGCTTAATCATAATCCTTCTATCCTAACAGGCATTTTGGTGTAATTTTTGGGCATTTTAATGTCTTGTTTTTCTATGCTTAGGGTACTTGCTTTTTCATTATTTTAAAATAGTTTTTAATTGCAAGACAAGTATGATGGATTTTTCAGCTATTTTTCAGCTATTGGTGTGACATTTTGCACACCTCTCTTTCTCTCTCTGCACACACACACACACGCGCACATACCTCTGTGTGTGCATGTTTGTTATTCTTGTTAGCCTTTAATTCTGATAGCTAACTAACGAAGGAACCCAAGGCAGGGAGCGAGGGTATCTGGTTTGTAGCTCACCTCTGCCCTTGGCTAACTTTGCCATTAAATCTCTTTACCTCTCCAGTGTGCTTTGTCTCTCCAACATGAACTGTTCATTCCTGCTCTGTCATCTGGCATGTGGCTGGATCAACTGAGACAATGAGGATAAGAATCCTGTAAACTGACAGACTCTGGCCTAAGTCAGATGTCATCAAGACTTACTTGTGACCCAGGGTTGTAAACCAGAGTGACTCTGGGTCGAGGCCTTGTTTTCCCAGACCCAGGGTACAGAGGGGCCCGGGTAGACCCACACTGGACAGTCAGCTCCTGAAAAAGGGCGCCTGCCCATTTGCTGAGTGTCAGGCTGGGAAATGTGTCTTGGGATGATCAATGCTGGGATGTGTGGGTGTCGAGCCAACCCAGGCACCGTGCTGCCCTCACTATGGTTGGTGGCATGTACCCCATGAAGACTGAGTGCCAACTCCAGGCTGGTGCTCAAGGACATAGTTCTGGCTCACCTCTACTCTGTTTAAGAGGCAGTTAACATGGTGAGTGAACGGATGTTGACACATAAATCACAGTAATTTGGACTGACTTTGTCCACACCTGGCTTTCCAGATGGCTTGGATACCAAGCGTCTAGGCACTTGCTGGGGGTAGAGTTAATGTTGAGGGTCAATGCACATGGTCCAGCGTGGGCCTGGGCTACGTGGAGTGTTCATGGAGGGCAAAAGCAAGTTTGGCAGCAGACCACAAGCATCTTTCCAGAACACTTTCATATCCATCACTGCATTTTATTCTATCAGTTGGGCAAGACAGAGATAATTGTCCCAGTTTTTAAGCTGAAGACACTAAAGCCAATTTTCCATAGCAAGTTAGTGGTGGTGGCAGACACGGAACTCAGCTCTCCAGACTCCTTGTCCTGTGTCCTTGGGAAGTGGTGGCATGAATGCCAATGGTCAAGTGGAAGAACCATCCGGCAACCCGGTGTCTCCCCTGCTGTCTGGTTTGCTCGTGGTGGCTCAGTCTCCCGGGATCATGCAGTTTTTGTGTACAGCTGAGTCTGGGCTCCAGAGGGGCCTGGTTGGCCCAGGCTTCCCCTTCCTTCTAAAACATGCTCCTCTCTCCTAGGTGCTGCTGGATCAGGAGAGGGAAGCCATGGCCAGGTCCCGCCGGCTGGAACGCAGCGCCAGCAGCTTCAGTTACTCCTCTTACCATACCCTGGAAGAGGTAGGTCTGTCCAGTTAAGCTCGGGGTTTTGTTGTCCCTCTGGGCCCTAAGGGACAGAGGCACTTAAGCAGAGACCAGTGAAGAGCCGTGGGTTGCTGAGGAGACTGTGGGACACTTGGGGCAGGCTAAGCAGACACTGGGTGGAGGGTTCTTAGGTAGGACAGTTTCAAAGAGGTCCAAAGGCCGGGATCCTGAAAGAGGGCGCTGAGGGGCAGGAGTGCAGCCCACAGCGGTATGGTGCCAGAGTTATGGGCTCACTTGGTGGAGCCAAGGCAGGGACCCTCCACTGGTTGGAACAGCAGGTAGAGACTGCCTTCCTATCCAACCCTGTGGCTAGGGACGAGGGGTCTTGACCTCACCACAACTAGACCTGGTGTTAAGTGGCCCAGCCGTGGGTACTGAGGGTGGAAGGAGCAGGAAGTCAGCGCACTGAGAGTCATTTTGTAGAATAAAATAGAGATGCCTTCACTTGAAGAAAGTTCGTGATCACAGCTACAGCCAGCTGGGACAGGTGTGACTGATGGTGACTTATTTATAAAGAACATGTAAGCAGAACAGGCAAAGACCTAATACAGAAACTCGAGGCTCAGGGCCCATTTCCAAATAAAGGTTGAAGCCGTCCTCTCTATTATTGTCATGATTACTCTTCTCATTCCACAAGGCCTATAATGGAGGATTCATTTTCTTCCTTATATTTGTCAATTAAATTATGGGTATTGCATGAATAAGGGAGTGAATTAATACAGCCTGTCAATTTTTATTCATGTCAAAGATAAATAACCCTTCCTTTGAGGGTCTTAGAGTCTAAAAGGGAAAGGAAGACCTATGAGATCTGTCAAATGAATAGAACGGGTTGAGAGAGCATTTCCAGCTGAGAGAGACTTGCAGGTTGACTCTGGGGACTGAGTAGTCTCAGCTTTTGCTGTTCTCTCAGGCAAAGTCTTAGCCCTGCAAGGGGGTAGGAAACCTGGGAATGCAGGCTGACCAGAACTTGTTGTCCTATGTCCTGATTCTTGCAATTCTCAAGGTTCTTTTAGATCCTCAGGGGAAAAGGGGAGCATTAAGGAGAATGGGAAATATTCTGAGAGGTCCTGGGGTTTACCCCCTCCCTGCTTAATTACCTGTGTGATAAATTTCATTCCTTTCAGATATATAGCTGGATCGACAACTTTGTAACTGAGCATTCAGATATTGTCTCAAAAATTCGAATTGGCCACAGTTTTGAAAACCGGTCCATTCTTGTCCTGAAGGTAAATTTCTCAGAGTTGACCTCTAGACTCTATAGTTAGAGAGCCTCTGGCCTAAGATGGAGCTCATGTGGAGCTGTGGCTGGAGGGGAGTTTTAGGGAGAGAGGTATGTATACTCCTGTCCTGAGGTGACCCATGAGCTTTGGGATTGTGTCCAGGGACCCACCCTTGCAGGTGACAGTGTGACCCGGCATGTCCTGGGTCAGGAAGTAGGGGTGAGGATTGCTAAGGAGAGGGAACTGCAGAGTGACAGTCATCACCCTGGACTTGGGGTGTGAATGTGGGTGAGTCAACAGTCTTCCTGTTACCTTGATTGCATCATCTGTTAAATGGGACAAGAGGTGCATAGAGGCCTCATCTGCAAATGTCTGAGGTCATTTGGCTCAGGGAGCCCCACAGATAGGCCTGGGTCTACGGAGACACCTCCTAGTTCTCCATAGGGACCCACAGAGACAGAATTTGAGCAAACTTGGCAGCATCAGTGCCCTTGCTCATGAAGGAGCCAATATAGGTGAGAGTGTGGAGTCACCTCTCCTGCCCCCCAAGAAAACAAAATTCTTTGTATACACCCTAGTGAGCATTAGGAGAGTGGTGCACGCAAGCCTTGGCTGTCCATCTGTCAGGAGTACCTGCATTGCTGTTCTCAGCATGCCCTAAGGACCTTCTGAAGGGCCCAAATATCTCACCTAGGACCTGACTTTGCCAACCCCTGCTTCAGTTTTCCCCAGGGGCCACCCTTTATCTCTCTATACTGTCATCTAAGACCTCAGGGTGGGTCCTCGCACTGGCAGCTTCAGTATCCCTGGGAATTTGTTAGCGGGAAATCAGACCTCCCGAATCAGAATCTGCATTTTAGTGAGGTGCCTGGAGATTCATGAGCCCGTTAGATTTGGGAAGCATCAATCTAACACACACCCAAATCTGGGAAATTCTGTGCTTCTGACCAGATCACTTTGCTCTCCAAGAGCACCCTGGGGCTCTTGCTCAGGGACCTGCATGTACCTGCCCTCTCTCGGGCACCTCGGGCCACCCCAGGCTGTGAGGACTCAACTAGGGCCTCTTTGAGGCAGCCCAGGGGCAGCCCTGTGGTTGTCTTAGTTCAAACCTCTGTTTGGGGCCCGGTGCTTTTTCCCAGTTCAGCACGGGAGGTGTTCTGCGCCCAGCCGTCTGGATCGACACTGGAATTCACTCCCGGGAGTGGATCACCCATGCCACTGGCATCTGGACGGCCAAGAAGGTCAGCCTGGATGATGGGGGCTACAGCAGGGGGTGGGTTTTGCTCGACCACTTAAGGGCACCTCCAGTAGGACAATTTTCCTGGGTTTGTTTATTTTTTTTTGAAGATTTTATTTATTTATGCATCAAGAGCTGGGGTACAGGCCAGAGGTGTGGGGGTGAGAGGATCCACCAGAGACAGAGTGGGGAGCAGAACAGGCAGACTGACTGAAATACACTGCTGAGGGGAGTAGCAGGCGAGGCAGGAGAGGTCTGCTGCGCCATGTGGGTAGCTCTCTGGCTGGGGATCAAACTCGTGCTGCAGTGGCTGCGGACAGCTTCACTGGGTGCATCTTAACCCCTTTCACCACCAGAGAGGCCCCTTCCTGGGTTTGTTTAAACTCAGGGCACTCTCCCCCTCTTGCCCTGTGGAGCAGTTACCACAGGCTCTGGTTTCGTGCCTGTCTATCCTCTGCCTTGAGGTCATCTAAAATCCCCGGCTGTGGTCCTGTGAAGCTACTGCCTGATGACCTGATGACATCCTTGCCCACTACCAACTACGCACACGTCCTGCAGGGCCTCTCATCTCTCACCTGTACCCACTCTGCCTTTTCTTGCAGATTGTCAGTGAATACGGCAAAGACCGCTTGCTGACAAAGATACTGAATTCCATGGACATCTTCATGGAGATCGTAACCAACCCTGATGGGTTTGCTTTTACCCACAGCATGGTAAGGGGTCAGCACTGGGGGGCAGGGGAAAGTCATTGTGCTTTGGGAACCTGGGCTGTAGTGTCCTGGGGGCTCCTTGCTGAGTTCCACTGTGGCAGATGGGCTGCCTTGTCTTCGGCTCATCTCTTGTCCTCAGGCTACCCTCCCATGGCCCATGGAAGGCCACTGTTGGCAGCTTGTGCTCAGGCCTCTACCCATACCCCAACTTTAACCTCCAAGAGATGATCTGCAGCCTCAGCCCAGCCCCATCCTGTCCTCGAGATGCCTTCCTTTTGCCCCTCTCTGTCCTATCAGGTCCCTGCCCCCTTCCTAGGACAGGTTGACAGAGGCCCCCATCCTGGCAATGGGCCCAGTGAATGAAGTCACCTGTTCTGGGCTTTCTCAGAACCGCTTGTGGCGAAAGAACAAGTCCAACAGATCAGGGATCTTCTGCATTGGTGTGGATCTTAACAGGAACTGGAAGTCGGGCTTTGGAGGTATGGCAACCTGCTGGGCCCAGGGGCAGGGCTGGAGAAGGCCTTGAACTTTGGCACGTGTCCCACACAGTCCAATTATGTTGACTCTTAAGCTGGGAGGCAACGTAGTTAGCTAATGGGCGTGAGTCACGGCCAGGGGCAGGTGAACACATGCCCAGGGTTGGCTGTGGGCCCTGGGAGAGCTTGCACGTGTGTGTTAAATGTGTACAGTACGCCAGACCTCCGTGGGAAACAGCTCCTTGCATGGGAACTGACTGCAATTCGCAAATATGGCAAAGAAAGGCATAAGGAGGTACATGGTAGATTTGTTGGTTTTTCAAAGTTCAGAGTTGCTGGTGCTCTCCAAATGTCCTTAGCCTTTCCTGACGGGAGCATGCTCAATGCAAGAAGGTGCTTCTGAACTCACTCCTTGGGAGCTATGATCTGATATTTGCCCTCTGGGGAAGCCAGGATGATGGTTCAAATATAGAATAAGCCAATTCTATCATCAACACTGACTTGCGCCTGGTGGTTATTTTTGACCCAGTTCCTTTGTAGCCCTGGGCTACTGGGCTGTGTGTTTCTAGTTCTCCTGAATCCCTAATGTTCTTCCCTGGTAATCTCCCTCATCACGCCAGGGGCACAGGGACTGGATGGGGAAACTGAGGCCTCCAGAAAGCCCAGACACAAGTATGTGGATTTTGGGAATGTGGCAATTTGATGGTGGGCTGGGTTCTGCCAGGACAGTCTCTAGAGGCAAGGACTGCAGGCACAGCCCTCAGCCCCCAGATGTGGCCTCCACACCATACAGGGAATTGGGGTTTGGCTTCTTGGAAGATGTGCCATTGTTGTTGAAAAACAGTTCTATAGACAGGTGGCCCAGCCAATGAGATAGGACATTCTACACCTGGATGGATGCCCATCACTTTGAAAATGTAACTTCTTTGAATCTGTTCTCATTGAGTTGATCTCAAGCATTGGAGTGAGGCCCCCCAGTCCACAATGTGGGGGTTACCTAGAGTCTAGGGCTGTGTGAATAACAGCTTGTGCAAGGGGACAGAACACATAAAGTCAGGCAATTCTACCCCTCAACAACTAGGCGCTCAACAACTAGGCGCTCGCCCCAGGAGGACCCCTTGGAGCTGGCTGAAGTGTGTGCTCACAGACCCCAACACAGACCACCTCATGGAAAGACAAATCACCTCCTAAAGAAAGTAACTTTTGTGAATTTCATTCCAGGAAAAAAAACCTGTATATACACAGTGTAAAAAAAAATATATGGAAAAAAAGTCCAGAAGGGACAAAAAGCTCCCATAATCCCACTATCCAAAGATTACTGCTTTTAATAATTTACCGTGTCCTTCCAGAGATTTCCCCTTGCTACAAATTACATTTTTAGAGAAGGAAAAATAAATAGCTAATGAATCCATTAGCAGGTACTTGTGAAACAGGCAGGCTCAGAGGACTTTGGCTGTGAATGTCTGAGAGAGGCAGGCAGCTAATTCCCATTTGGTCAGGGGAAGATTAGTTTATTCTGCTTAGCTCAAACCAGAACTAATGGCCTGAAGTGTTTCTCCATATTTGGGCAAAGCCACCTGGTTGTTGGCAAGGGAACCGCTTTCCATGCGTGGGCTGCAAACGCAGACAAAGCTTTCAGCCTCCCCAGCCCCCCACCCCTCTGCTCATCTGTTGCTATTTGTCATTCATCAAGTATAGCAGGTGCAGAAACTCCCGGCAGACACAACAAACAAGGCCACTGTTAGGGGGGCCCGACTCCAGATTGTGGGGCTGCTTCTTACCCCTCACTCCTTGCAGGAACAACCCCTTCTAAACAGGGTCCCCACCCCAGGTGAAGACCTGCACACCAAGAGGTGTGTGCTCCCCAGTGACAGAATTGCCCCTGGCTCTGCCTGTGGCCAGAAATAGTGTGTGTCTGGGCTGGTGACTCGGGCGGGAAGATTTTGTTTATGGTTTATCATTGCATTAATTTAATTGCTACATAGTGAGTAATCTGTAGACCATCTCTCCCACCTACACCGCCCTCACCTGCACTCTTAGGGAGGACTGGTTTCCTGCAATCCTGAGCATCATCTCACCTGGTCCATGGGCCAACCCCTAGCTCTCAGCCAGCTGCTAACCTGGGGCTTAAAATGGGGGGCTCTGGCATCCTCTGGGGACTACAGAAGTTGGGAGGATTTCTGGCCCCTGGATTGGGCTTATGTACAATTATTTCGGGGAGAAGGTGCTAGAAGAAAACCTGGGCTGGCTCTTCCCCTAAGGGTCCCTAATCCCTAAATCTTGACCAGCCCGGCGCCCTAGAACATGACCTTTAAGGGGAGGAAAGCAGGAGAGGAGCAGAAGAGGAAAAAAAGAGATGGGTCCTAAGAATCTAGGATGAAATGGGAACAAACTAAATTGTGAACGGAACAGAGGCTGCGTTCCTCGTTGCCCTCTTCCCCAACTTAGGTGGCTAAGGAGAATTTTCAAAGACCTCTTTGCATCTGTGGTTTCCAGACCAACCTCAGTCCACTCAGGGGATCTATTATCTCTGTTTCTGGGCCCTTGAGCCCGTCAAATCTGGGGCCACAGCTGTGGCCAAAGGGCAGTGAACCCAACCCTTCCCATGACCATGGAGGGTCCGCAGAGAAGGGTCAGCTCAAGGGGTCTCTGCTCAGGGGAAGCCGGGTTGGGCGGGAGACCTAGCGTCGCCCCTAGTCTGCCTCTCCGATGGAACCACAGTTGGAACTGAATCAGAGGACAGGCCAAGGGAACTCCCACAGGGCCAGAGTTGCTGCCTCCCGGCCTGGCTACCACCTCCTGATGAATTAGATGGGGCAACACAGGGCTCACAAGCGCCTCTTCAGATATTGGTGGCCCAACACGGTGAACATTTATTTTTCATGCACATGAAGTCCACGGTGGGTAGGGCACTGCTCGGCAGCACTCTTCCCACGGTGTCAGAGGGACCCCGGACACCCCCTCCATCTAGACTTTTCCTTCCAATCACATGGCTAGAAGACATGGGGACAAACGCTTGATCTTGGACAAGAGACACATCGTTCCTGTCCCCACTCCGTGATCACACGTCGTCTCATGGCCTCCACCAAACTGCAGAGGAGCCGGGACATGTAGAGGAATCCTGGATACCCTGTGAACACTCAGGGTTTTTCCCAAAACTGGGTATTTTAACCCTTTGGGTGGTTTTATGTCACTTCCAGGAAATGGCTCTAATAACAACCCCTGCTCAGAAACTTACCACGGCCCCGCCCCCGAGTCGGAGCCAGAGGTGGCCGCCATGGTGAAGTTCATCACGACCCACGGGAACATCAAGGCTCTGCTCTCCATCCACAGCTACTCCCAGATGCTCATGTACCCTTACGGCCACTCACTGGAGCCTGTTTCTGACCAGGAGGAGTTGGTGAGATCGGTCACTCAGGGCTGGAGGTGGGGGGATCTAGCAGACTCCCAGAGGCCTCAGGTAATCCCTCTGAAATGAGGGTCTGGTCAGTAGATCTCCTGGTAGGAGTGGGGGCAGCTTGCTGTGCTCATGGGCGACCAGGTTCCAGCCTGAAGTGCTGTGTCACCTTCTCACGAGAACCTTCTACCCTTCCTAATCGCGGGGACTGAAGAGGGTGCCAGGCTTGGGGATCCCCCACTCCTCACCCTCTGGATGTCACCTTGCAGTTCAATCTTGCCAAGAACGCAGCACAGGCGCTGCATGAGGTCCACGGAATCGAGTACGTTTATGGCAGCATCAGCACCACCCTCTGTGAGTGAGCCTCCCGCTGACACCGCTTCAAGCCCACAGCCGCCAGGGCTGGCGGTGCAGCTCCTGGCTGGCTGGCAGCCCTGGATGGTCACAGGGCACTGCTCTAGATCTAGCTGATTCCCACCTCAGACTAGAAGGGTGTGAGTGGAGGTACCCAGAAATGGGCAGCGGTTGCTTTGCAGCATCAGTTAACACAGAGCTGATCCCTGGCTTCTTGCAAAGTTCCTTGAGGGGCGAGATCCTAAGTCTGCTGGCCTCAGGGAGCTTTCTTTTGAGGGGGCAGAGTTTGGGCTGGGTAAGCAGCAGGTGGCCCAAGTCAGAGTCTGTGCCGGAAGTTTGATATGGTTTTTGGTGGGGGGATTTGGCCCCAAGGACCTACCCAGGATACATCTGTGCCTTGTGCCCACACCCTGTTTTTCCTGTTGGGGCACTTCTTTGTCCTTTGCTTCCAGATGTGGCCAGCGGGATCACTGTGGACTGGGCCTACGACCATGGGATCAAGTACTCCTTCAGCTTTGAGCTCCGGGACACCGGGCAATACGGCTTCCTGCTGCCCGCCTCCCAGATCGTCCCCACCGCCCAGGAGACGTGGCTGGCGCTTCTGACCATCATGGAGTACACCCTGAAACACCCCTACTAGCCGCACTACTGAGGGAGGAGCAAGAGGGTTTGTCCTCTCCCAAGGCCTGGGGCTCCTCCTGAGCCTCATTTAGGCAGCCCTACCCCAGACCCCAGCCCTGATCCCTTAAATAAAAGAATCTTTGAACAGGCTTGGTGGCCTCTGGGGTGGCTTGGCTGCCACCCCTTTGGGCTCAACACTGAGGAGGGGTCAGGACAACTTGAAATTCCTGGGAAGCCGCGTGGCCCCTGGGTACGCGGGACAATGAGGGACGTACGACGTGTCCTCCCCGCGGTCATGTTCTCAGGGCTCAAACAGCTAACTCCCCCTCTGGGAGCTGCTGATGGACACATGGCCTCCACAGTATTTACCATTTAAGATGACCCCAAAGGGGAAAGTTTGAGCTAAAGGATAGCTTTCCATGAGGGGGGAGCCAGGTCTCAATGGGCCTACTTCATTTCCCAAGCGGGGTCCATTTCAGAGGCCCCACTTAAAAGACTCCACTTATCCCAGAAACCCAAGTGAGCTGCTCACCGTCTCCTTCTGGGCATCCTTGCAGGCCCCCTGGTCTTGGGTGGGGGACGGACACAGCAGAGCTCCACAGCCAAGAACACATGTACAGGAAAACCCTCTTCTCTCCCGGGGGTCGTCACGGCTGGCCTGCTGGGCGGTCCGCCAGGCCATGCACTAAGTGAGCACTTTGTCTAAGGGAAAGTAGGGGAAACATTTTGGAGATACCAAAGGAGGTGCCCCCCCCCAACCCTCAAGTTTCTTGTACGTTGGTCTTCCCCCTGCAGGGCACAGAGCACAGGGTTTTATTAAAAATCATAGAAAGGGAAGAAAACAGGATGAAGGTGACTACAACAGTGGGGGAGGCTGGTTATCCGTCCCCAAACTATTCTGGGAGTGAGGGGCTGCCTTAGCACTTGCCTAGAGCAGTGTGGTCTGCAGACCACAGGCACCAGCATCCCCTGGGAGCTTGTGGGCAATGCCAAGTCTCAGATCCTGACCTACTGAGCCAGAATCTCTGGAGAAGGGACCCAGGTGATTCTAATGCCAAGTTGGAGAAGCTTCGGTCTAGAGACAGGAGGTCTGGACTCTGATGGGTTTCCCAGTAACAGTGAAAATAGTCAACTCTTTTCTAGCACATACTATGTGCCAGGCGTGGTTCCAAGTGCCTTATAGAATTCACCCGTTGCTTCCTCACAGCCCTAAGTGGTGAGTCTACTGCAAGTTCTCTGAGAAGCGGGAGGGACTGAAGGGGGCCTCTGAGTCAGTTCATCAAGTGACTGACTGTCCTTATTTTCAGATGAAGTTCAGGCTCAGAAAGAATAGTGGCTAAAGGGCACCCAGTTAGGAGAGGCAGACCTGGGATTGGCCTTCAGGAGAGCCTGAGTTTTGCTCAAAATCCCTCAGGACCAAGACCAGGAACTTGTTCTCAGAGTCAGGTTGTGGCTGACAGTGCTTTTTATTATTTTAAAAAATTTTATTTTTTTAAAAAGATTTATTTATTTATGCATATAAGAACTGGGGTGTAAGCCAGAGGTGCCAGGAGGGTGAGAGGATTCACCAGAGACAGAGTGGGGAACAGAACAGGCAAAAGGACTGAAACACACTGCAGAGGGGAGCCTCCGGCAAGACAGGAGAGGTCTGCTGCACCATGTGGGTCACCTCCCTGGCCAACCGGGGATCAAACTTGTGCTGCAGTGGCTGCCCATAGCTTGAGTGCTTAAACGTGTATCTCATTGACTGGGGCTGTATTACATGACCAGGCCCATCTGCAAGGAAGCTGTCCCAAATAAAGTTGGAGAAGAAAGGAGATCATAAGAAGGAAGGAGAGAATGGATATTGAGTACTCCTCCAGCAGAGTCTGCTGCAGCTTCTCTGAAGGGAGGAGGAGCTGAAGGGGCCTCTGAATCAGTTGACTGACTTAATCATAAAGTCATAGAACTTTCCAGAAGAAAGTGTTCTTTAAATTATACTAGTACAACCCCCTTACTTTGTAGTTACAAACAATCGTGGACCCTGAATCACCTGACTTTTACAAGGTCCCAAAGGAACAGTTGAGGAGACTAAAGTCAGGGTCCTCCCCAGGACTGAAGGGTCTCCTCAGTAAACCCAGGGAGGTAATGGCGGGGGATATGTTTATCTAAAAAAAAAAGCTCAAGACTTACACACACGCATTTTAGAGATATTACAGAATCTCTTTTTCATAAAACCTGAACTTTTCCCCCTCATTTTCTTAGGTATATATAATGCTTAACAGGAGTTCAGTTTTTCTACATTCTGCTTGACTTTTTTTTCCCTTGCAACAAACTGCTCTTTTTAGGTATGTTTTTTCATCCTTTTCACCAGTAAAATTTATGAGCATTTATTTAAAAGAAAAAAACATTGGAAAAACTGAAGAGAGAAAGAGTGATTATACATATGGAAAGCTATAAAGAACCACAGTGAATGTGCTGCGGTTATTGCTTTCTTAAAAAAACAAACCAGGCCGGCAGTTTGGAACGTGAAAGAGTCCTGTGTGAGGGCAGGGCGGGCTGCAGAGGCTGAGCTGATGGGCTAACGACCGGGGTCTGGGGAGTCCCCCGAGGTGCCCTTCATGTCCCCCTGTCTGCTACCATTCCCTCTGATGGCCCCAGATAGGGCCAGAGAGAAAATGGTTTTACCGAAAAAAGTAAAATTAAATTCAAAAACGCTCCTTTAGAAAAATAAGACAGTCCAGGCAGCCATTTGATACAGGCTGAGAGGGAAACCAGGGTACCTCAGGCCTGTCAGGGCTTCACAGTCTGGTGAAGCCACACCCCATCTCAAGCTCCTCAAGCCTGAGGGGCAAGTGGATTTGAAATTTGATTTTTTTCAGTAACGCCATTTTCTCTCTGGCCCTGTCTGGAGAGGACTGTTCTTTTCTCTGGGGCGGGTGGCGGGTAGGGGTGTCCTGAAGGATAGCTCCAACCTGTGTGGCCTTTGGAGGGTCTCCTGAGTACCTGGGACAGTCCTAGGGAATGATAACAAGTTTGCAGGTGCATTTCTCTGGCTTGTCCCTTGCTGGCTCTCACACCAGGCCTCTGCCCCATGCTCTCCCCTGACCAGCTTCACCTGGCTCTGTGGCTCTTCATCCACCCTCCTGCCCCTCAGCCTACTTCACCCAAGGCATAGCTAAGCCCACTGGGGAACTTTTCCCAAAACTTTACTTGGAAATATAGAAGGGAAATATAATGTAGGAAATGAAACATTTCAGTTGGGCCCTGGAGATGGCTGGCCTTGGAGTTGACAGTTGACATTTTGTGAGGTAAACGCTTACAGCTTTTGCTTCTGTGAATCCTTTGCCTGCACCCACGAGGCTGGGGCAGCCCATCCTGCCCCAAGGACAGGAATGGCCCTCCAAGAGTTCCCACTTCCTTCGTCAGGCTCAGTCAGAAGCAAAGCTCTGCTCCCTCATTTCTCTTTTCCCATTATGGTAACTTCCTTCTTAGTTCCTCGTCCACTGAGATCCGGGCTCTGACTTGACGTTTCCTAAAGCCCCGCTGGAGTGCTGCTCCCTCAGGTGACACTTCCTTCAAGGAAAAAATTCTGCCTCCATTCTGGAAACAAACACCACTAGCCACTTGAAAGTGACAGTTCTGCAGCTTCAAAGCAAAACAAATAGGTTCTACAGGCCACTCAGTTATGAAAGCAAAACTCAAGGAGGTCACTGATGGGGCCTCCTCCTCCCGGCCAGCCTTCCATGACGTCCCTCAACCCGAGACGCCCACTGTAGCCTCAGCAGGATGTGGTCCTCCCCACTTAACACCGCCAGCCCAAGTCCCTGCGATTCGCGTCTGATCTCCCCACAAACCTGGCAAGCCTCGCACTCTAACCTGCCCAGACCTGTCACCACCGTTGTGATTTGTTTGTGGGTAAAAAATACAAGTGTCCTAGAATTGTAAAGTGTCCCAGCAGGAGAGGACCACCAAGAGAGCGTCTGACCAGCAACTTCATTGCACATGAAGACGAGGACACGGATGTCTAGGGATGGCCAGTGACCTGCCCCAAATCAAGGACTGGCTTTGCCCACCTACTTCAGAAGGCAGCATCGCCCCGCTCTACCACCCCAGACATTAGAGAAGTGTGTGTATTAGCTGTGCCCTTTTTCCCCAAACACATAACAGAAAAGCAACTTGAAAACGCTTGAGGGGAGAAATGAACTTTATTGGTTCATCCTGAGAGCCGGGCGGGCAGGGGTGGTGAGGGCCACCTGGTCACGTGGTCTCGTGTCGGGTGGTCTTAGGAAATGGAAGCGCTGTCATTGGAAGGAGGAGGATACTGGGCAGGAAAAACAAGGGCTGTCCACTGTTGTTTACTGCTTGACTGCCCCCCATTCTCCCGGGCTTCTGTTTTCAGGCCCACAAGTGAACCACAGCAACCTTAGACCACTTGCCAAAGGGAGGCAACTGCAGTCTCATCCAGCTGCTGTGGACAGCCGTTCTGCCTGCGCCCCTTTGTGCTCTCTGCAAGGATACCCTTTGCACACGGGCCCCTTTGCTCCCTAATCTGGACAGCGGAGAATGGTTTTCTTGCCTCTTTAGCACCCCATTCTCTAGGTTTTGGCTTGGGGGTCTCTGCGCATTGCCTTAGAGTCTCTGCTTCCCTTGCTTGGATGTTCTCTGGCCGCTGGACTGCCTTGGATAGTTGTCCAGTGTGTGCACTGCACAAAAGCATTCTACTGAGAACATGAGGGGCTATGTCTGTCCAGAGGTGAAGGGTGCCTTTCTTCCTTTGACAGAAAGACTCCCCTAGGCTAAAACTGTATTGTCTTCTAACAATAGAAGCACTTTAAAAGCTCAGTAAATGGCTCAATTAGAATGCTTTCCACAGCAGCAACAGAAACTCCAATTAATAAAAAGGAAATGTGTATTCTTTTATATTATATCATCCAAAGATGGGGTAACAGACTTGGCAACATCCAGAGGACCGCGCCGCCTCCTCACGAGTAGGGAAATCCTTTGCTGGGCTCCCCTCACATCTCATTAACAAAGCTGGGCCACATGCTCACCTCTAAACCAGTCACAGAAGAGAGTGAGATTCCTTGATTGCCTTAGACTAATATTAGAATTTAATCCAGAGCTGGGAATGGGGTGGCTTCCTGTTGGGTGATGTCTGCACTCAGGCTGGGTTTGTTTAGCCAGGAAGGAAGAAGGAAGGGCCCTGTGAGCACTAGGCAGAGTGGCTTCCTCAAGCTTCTATTTGCATCCAGCTCTTGCCTGGTGACCTGTCCTTGAACCAAATGCCAGCCTGGTTTCTTTCTCATGCTAATAGGTCTTGGTGCTCTGCCTATTCCCCCGGCTTGGCCTTCATCTTTGCCCTTGCTTTGGGCTGGTGTGAAACAAGAAGGGGAGGGCAGAGGTGTGGCCCCCTGCCCCTGGTTCCATTCTAGCAAATTGCTCTTTACCAACAGGCAATTTTCAGCTTCCTGAGGTGCTTTGGAGGGGCCCAGAGAATTAGGCTTAGCCTCCACTGGAGACCCAAATTCCTCTGCCACTGTGCTTTCAGCTCCCTGCCAGCACTGGCCCTAATTTCAGCCTGCAGCATTGAATTAATCTTTTCCAACCTTGCAAGAAAATAGATTAAATGACTCTTGGACATCTTAGATTGCTGGCTGGAGGCAGTAAGAGGCTCTTTGGCGAGGCACTACCCTCCCCCCATATACCCCCCCTCTTCCTGACGGGCTTGTCTTTCTTGGAAAGAATTCGCAGAAGGCCCGAGAACGAGTCCCTGCTCCCCACATGTGCAGTGTGTGTGAAACATATTCAGAATTATAGGACAGTTTCAGATTTAGAAATAGAAAAAGAAATATTGTTTTCATAATGCAAACTAAAAACAAACAAACAAAAAACTGGCTCTCCAAAGCCTTCTTTCCTGGTGGGACTAGAGTAGAAAGCTGTAGAACACTGCAGGGCGCTACGGGATGGAGGAGTGAGGATTGGGTACGACGGGGTCCCGGTCTAAGGAAATTTGCAGTCTTGTTGGGAAGACAGGAAAAACAGCCCTGGAACAATTAAGGAGGAAGGAATGTGAATCGGGTTCAGGCGCCGAGCAGTGGGATACACACCCCATCCCTTCCCTGCCTGACAAAACCTATCATTAAGACCCAGGTCCAATGTCACCTTCTTGGTAAATTCTTCCCTGACCCTCCTGTCTGTGCCCACAGTGCTGAGTCCAGATTCCCACAGAGACTTTTCCTGCACATGTCACAAAAAATGTGCCAGATTCCTGCATGTTTAATCCCTGCCACAGCGCCAGCTTCTTGTAAAGACCTGTTAGAAAATCAACGCGTTAGCTGGTTCCTTCTGACCTTCCCACCAGACTGTGAGCTCCAGGACCTGAGGGACAAGTCGGGGGGAACACAGTTGACTGCTGGCCCCACTGTCATGGGGTACTAGGCCATAGGCCCCCAGGGCTGTTCCCAGCTGAAGGAGAACACGGAGGTGCCCGCTGGGGTGCCAGATTCCCCTTGACTTGCAAAGAGGACTCAAAGATTCCCTCAGAATTGTGCTGCTGTCTGAGCTCTTCCTGCCCCATCCCCCCTCCTGCCCCTTCCCCAGGTGCCAGCCTGCAGCCTGGGAAGGCTCTCCTGCCTCCTCCTGCTCCTTCCTCTACCCCTGGTGGGGGGGTTCCCCCATAAAGCCCTTGCACATTGAATCCTGTCTTGGGACAGCTTCTTGGAGGACCTGAGCAAACAGTTAGTTGGCTACTCCTGTCTTCCCTGCTGGACGCACAGTCCATGAGACCTGTTGCTGCTGCTGCAGCCTGACTCCCATGGATCGTCGAGGCTGGTGGGGGTGGGACAAGGGAAGTCCTACTAGGGGCTGTACCCCAAGACAGGGATGAGCCAGGCACCAGGTATGGGCAGCCCTAGATGAAGCCAGCAGTTCGAAGGGTTGGATGGGGGTGGAAGTCCTAACTTGCTCTGTCAGGGAACAAAATAAGCTGGTGTCAGGGATGTGGGAGAGGGGTCACCTTGCACAAGACCCCAGCTGGTATGGCTGACGGCAGTCCTGGCTCCTGCCCACTGCCTGGCTGGCAAACAGGACTGCAATTCACTGACTGCGGGCCTTGGGTTGTGGGCTGCACCCAAGAGGTCCCCACTGGGAGGCCTCAAGCTCTTCTGACCCTCAGGCCCTGGGCTGGCCCCTCATGGCCAAGGGGTGGAGGCCCAGTTATCTCCCCAGCTGCCCTGTTCCCTACTACTTTATCAGGGAGGGCAAGGAGGTGCCAGAGTTCAGCGGTCCCACCTTACCCTTCCCGTGGGAAAGGCCCAGGTGCAAGGGGAGAAGCACATGGGCACAGCCAGGAGGCTCTGTCCTGGGAGGGTTTAAAAGGCCTCAGGACTTTCACACAGCCTCAGGTCACCTTCCCAACAGGCTGCAGCATGAGGGCGCTGCTGATTTTGAGCGTGCTGCTGGGGGCCACCCTTGGCTTAGAGAACTTTGTGGGGTAAGGGTGTTCAGAGGGAGACAGGGAGGATTTGGCCCCCGTGAGTGTCTGGAAGAGACAGACAGACAGAGCCATGGGAAGACGGCCAGAGAGAAGCAGCCCAGCAGCGCGGTGGGAGGCCAGCTGACTGGGACAAGGGCTGAGTAGAGTCAGGGTCTTTCAGGACAGACAGCCTCCTGAGCCCTAGGGAAATCTGAGCCCTGAGGAGGAATTTCAGGACAGAAGGAGGGGGAAAGCTTGCTGGTTTTAGATTGAGAAAGAGTCTAAGTTTGTATGATAATAGAAGCAATGTCTAGAAGATTCCAAGGAGCCCCTATTGGTAAGACCCATCATGCTTCCTACTTTCAACCCAGAGGATGGAGGGCTAGCCTGGGCTTCCAGGCTGCTTGCCACCTTCCCCCTATCTGGGGAGAGTGCATGGTCAGGGCAGGGGCTTCTCAGCACCTCAGTCTCCCCCACTGCTCTGCGCAGGCACCAGGTGCTCCGAATCTCTGCAGCCAATGAAGCCCAGGTGCAGAAGGTGAAGGAGCTGGAGGAGCTGGAGCACCTGCAGGTCAGAGGAAGGGGAAGCCCTCTCTGAGACTCCTGGGTACTACCCAGGCCAGCCGGGCCCATCTCAGGTTCCTACCACCCCTTTGGGCTGACTGGGGTCTGGGCTCACCCCACCAAAAGGAACCATGGGATGGATCCCTGTTAGGAAGTGACTTAAACCCCCCAATTCCAGAATCTTGCTGCCCTTTAGCATCTGAGCAAAGTGGGGACCCAATACTTCTCTTTCCCTTGCTGTCACAAAGCCCCTTCTCTCTGCATTCTGAGTCATTGCCCTGAACACACAGGCCTCTGTCCAGTGCCTTCTGCCCTCTGATGCACCTCAGCCCCAATTATACGGGAGATTCTGACTCCAACACCTCCCACCCCCCCGGCTGGCCTTCACTATAGCTGCTGTCCCGGCTGGTGCCTGCAGCTCACAGCCACCGTGCCTGCTCTTGTCCTCCCCAGCTGGACTTCTGGCGGGGCCCTGCCCGGCCTGGCTCCTCCATCGATGTCCGAGTGCCCTTCTCCAGCATCCAGGCTGTCAAGATCTTCCTGGAGGCCAACGACATCAGCTACAGAATCATGATCGAGGACGTGCAGTCGCTGCTGGACGAGGAGCAGGAGCAGATGTTTGCCTTCCAGTCCCGGGCCCGCTCCACCAGCACATTTAATTACGCCACCTACCACACCCTGGACGAGGTGAGGGCACCCATGGGACCGCTGCCCATGGGCACCAAGTGCTCCATCCTGCCGGCAGAATGCAGCCAGTCCGGGCACGGCACCTGCTCTTCCCCCAAGTGGCAGGGGTGGAAAGGGTGGCGGTTCCTCCGCGTCGCTGGGCTGGCCACAGGCTGGGTGACAGAGCTGCCGAGTGAGGTGTCCAGGTGCCCAGAGGCCATGAAGGCTGCTTCCACTCCCCTCCTCAGATCTACGAGTTTATGGACATGCTGGTGGCTGAGAACTCGCAGCTTGTCAGCAAGTTACAGATTGGCAACACCTACGAAGGTCGTCCCATCTACGTGCTGAAGGTACTGGGCCCCCGCAGGTGAACTTCACAGGCTGGGATGCAAGAACCGGCACCTGCCTCTGGGGGTAGCCCAAGGTCACTGGGATCTGTGATTCCCACCGTCCTACCAACTCCCCAGCCAACATTCAGAAAGACCTGGATTTCCACGCTGGTCTAGGCAGGTGCTTACATGTACACACACAACTGAAATGTTTACGTGATCCAGGTATTTCCAATCAAGGGTCCTATTGTGGAGAATATCCCCAAGATGGGGGTGGGGGGCAGGGTATAGTCCAGATCCAAAGTTTTGTTTGTGACCTTCCGCAGAGAGCAGTGAGGGGACAGTGGAGCAGAGTGGGGCCTGGGAATCTGACTGGGTTCTATTTGCCCCAGTCCTGGGCTGAGGGCAGGAGGCCCAGCTCTGTGGGATCCTTGTCCAGACCCTACCAGCCACCTGAGGGACGGCCCCACAGACAGAGCCTCAACCGGAGATAGCCAGAGAGCAGATGGCCTCTGGCCGGGGGCACCTTTGCTTACTGGAAGGCGAGACGAGGCCCCAGCTGGACCGTCTCCCTGTTCTTGTTCAGTTCAGCACTAGCACAAGCAAACGTCCAGGCATCTGGATCGACACAGGCATCCATTCCCGGGAGTGGGTCACCCAGGCCAGCGGGATCTGGTTTGCAAAGAAGGTAAGCCTGGGCAGGTGGTGGGGGGTGGTTAGAGCATTGGTGCCAAGGGCCACAGAAGCCCTGCCCTCCCTGCAGTCAGAAGGTGTGACTGCCCTTTCACCCCGTTGCTCCCCAATCCCCCCACCAGATCACAGAGGACTATGACAAGGACCCAGTTCTCAAGAACATTCTGAACACCATGGACATCTTCCTGGAGATCGTCACCAACCCTGATGGCTTCGCATTTACCCACAGCACGGTATGGACTTTGTCCTGTCCTCGGGAAAGTGGGGTGGTTCTGGCCTCTGAGCCCCCAAAACTACTGATCCTTCATCTCAACAGAATAAATCAAAGGAGGAGCAAGTCCCCATCCCCCACGACCAGTTTCCCGACCATGGCATTGTGGACATCTGGGGTGGATAGTTCTTCATGAGCGTGTGTGTGTGTGTGTGTGTGTGTGTGTGTGTGTGGGGGGTGTGCATGCAGGGTGCCTAGTAGTGTCCTGACATTCTACTCACTAGATGCCAGTAGGGTCCCGCAGTTGACACTTCCCAACACATCCTCAGATGTTGCCAAATGTCCCCGGGGGAGGGGCAAAATTGCTCCCACTGGAGGTCCAGTGCCCCAGACCTTACTTCCTGGTTCAATTTCACTTTTGTGGCAAGGACAATATGCTACAGATCACGTGTGTATCGGGGGCCGGGGGCGGCTCGTGTCTTCACTTCCCACCAGTAGAACCTCCGACCAATGGCATCCATTGTTCCCTCCATTCTGCTTCAATAAAGAACCCCCTTTGCAGACCATCTCCCTGGCAGCCAGTCGAAAATAGTTTCTGATTCCAGGCTGTGGCCACCCCCCAGCTCTGGATCAGGGTACTTAGCGCTGATTGCGGCTGCCGGCCACCCACGCGGCTCAGACCCCCGCCTGGTACTGTTAGGGGGAAAAGGATGTCCTAAAGCCCCACAGCCAGGCAACCCGTTCAATATCAGGGCTGTCCTATAACAGTGCCACAGCTGATGAGGGTCTGATCGCTTTTCCTTCCCCAGAATCGCCTGTGGCGCAAGACTCGATCCCGCACACCTGGCTCCAGTTGCATCGGAGTGGATCCCAACAGGAACTGGGATGCTGCCTTTGGGAGTAAGGCCCAGTGGGATTGGGGAGCAGGGTTGGGTACCATCCTTTGTCCTGTTGCCCCCACCCTTTCCTGTCCCGGCAGTGAGGGGAGGGTCGGGGTGCCAGCCAGCCCCTCTCCGAGGCTGCCAGTGTGGAAGGCAGTGCTCTGAGATTTGCTTGCCCCTGGTCTGTAAAAGGAAAGTTCTCCTAAAAGGAAAGTTCTGAAACAAACCTGGGGTTTCTAATGTCACCTCAGTTTCTTCCTGCCTGGCCCACTTCACTGCAAGAATGGGTTTCTCTTAAGGAAACTTCTTAGCTCCCTGGGTGGCACCATCAGCTCTGCCCAAATCTGAGTGGGGACAGAGGCAGAACCCCATTCTTTCCTGAATTTGGGGGTAAGGGGAAAGCCTCCTGCTCCCCACCACACCCCTAATTCCATGCAGAGAATGAGGACTCATGGAAGCCAGTCCGTTTGGATGTAAGGAATGCCAAGTACCCCTCTCCCCCCACAGTGCCCGGCGCCAGCAGCAACCCCTGCACAGAGACATACCACGGCCAGTATGCCAACTCCGAGGTGGAGGTCAAGTCCATCGTTGACTTTGTGAAGAACCACGGGAACATCAAGGGCTTCGTCTCCATCCACAGCTACTCCCAGCTCCTCCTCTATCCTCACGGCTACACAAACACCCCAACCCCCGACCATGAAGAGCTGGTATGCACGGACCCCTTCTTGTTGGTCCTGGGGCAGCTTCTGGCAGGCCTGGGTTTTCATTCATCAGAATTGCTTAGGCACCAGGGCCTTCTCCCAGGGGCTTCAGATGGCTTGGGAAGACCAGCAAGGAGGACTAGCCTTACTTTCTCCCTGGGAAACTGAGGCACAGAATGGTTGAGTCACTTCTGTCTCATGATAAAGTCAGGGGCAGGACTCGACTTTGGGCTTGTCAGGCAAGTTCGTGTGTGGAACTGCACCGTGGCAGGGACGTGCCTGCCAGACACAGGGCAGCGGGCCCTGAGGCTGCTGAGCCCCCAGAACCGATGCTGAAGGCCCCAGTTGGCCCCGAGCTCCGTGCTGGGGACTGGCTTCTGCAGGATGCCTCCCCAGGGACACCTGCCAGCTCCCAGGCTACCCTAGCCCTGCTCTTCCCAAGCCTGGGCTGCTGGCCATGACGGGCAACCTCATTTGTGTTTTCTTTAGGATCAGCTGGCCAAGGCGGCTGTGACGGCCCTGTCCTCCCTGTACGGGACCAAGTTCACATATGGCAGCGTCTACACCACAATTTGTAAGTGGGCTCATGGTCTCTGCGGGTGGCCTCAGGAGGGACTGAGCTTGACTTTTTTTTTTGCCTGAGGGGGTGTCCCTCCTGGAGGGTGCCCAGGCCTAGGTACATGGCTGAGGAGAATGTCCCTGGCTGTGCTGATGATCGCTGAATGGGCGGGCAGTGCCTTCTCCTGATGTGAGCTCTGCTTTCGTTGACACTTTTGGATAAACACATCTGTTCCTCTGAGAACCCTTAGCCCTTCACACATGGATGGGGTGGAGAGTCCTGCTGTCATTTGTGGATCACCAAGAAATTCAACTCAAAAGGCTCCTTCCCCAAGGCCCTTCAATTATCTTTTTCCAGCTTGCTTGCACACACAGAGGCTCTGCATTGCGTGGACGGCACATCAACGTGCAATGAAATCAACAAATGTTTACTACGCACCTGCTATGCACCAGGCCTTGTTTTGTGTGCTTGGGACAAGTTGGAAATAAGCAGAGATCAGAGAACTTACATTCTAGCCAGGGAGGCTGGCCATAAACATAAGTTTATGTGGGGTGAGCAATGCTAGAGAGAAAAGGAGAAACTCGACAGGGTGAGAGGCCGCAGGAATCCTCATCGGAAGAGTGAAATTCTGGGCAAGTGAAGTTAGGAAATGAGGGAAGGAGCCAAGGCTATCCATCTGGGGAAGAGGCTTCCAAGCAGAGGAACCTTCTAGAGCAAAGGCCCCACTGGACTGGACTGGAATTAAGGGGAAGGAGACCTGTGTGGCGGCAGCATGGGGGCAGGGGTTGTAGAAAACAGGTGGGGTGGTGGCAGATGCAAAGGCACCAAGGGAACGGGGCAGGGGGCAGGCGACCTGAAGAAGCAGGGAGAGAGCACGGAGGTGGGAAGACAGCAACTCCGTCCCTGAGTGCCCAGTCTTGGTGGGCGAGTGAGTCACGGTCTTCCCTACGGCTGTCCTGGCCTTTGGACTCCAGGCCTACTTTGGAAACGGTTTCAACCCTGCGTCAAAAGGGTTTTGCTCCCATTTAATGTCAAGTTCAATTCTGACAGCCAGCTCCCTTCCTCTGCCCCCACCCAAGAACAAAGTGGCTTCATACCCCACGGTTAAGTGCAAATCTCAGCTGAGTTTCCTCCAAAAAGACAGATTCGACTCTGGCCCATTGCACTTTCCCCTGCAGACCAGCACCCTGGGGGGTGGAGTGGAGTGGGGGGTAGATCCTCGTTACCCAAGTGGGTAACTGCTATATTTGGAGACTTGACCCAAGTGCCTGTTGGACAGTGGCAATTTTCAGGGGGACTTTTGCAATGTGGCAGGGATTTCTTGCATTCCCCAGTGAGAGGAGCAACATTGCTGGGCTGCCTCTCTGGGTCTCTTGGGCTGAGACCCGTTGGCGGGAGCTTCTGGGGAGGTAGCCAGGCTGCTTGGTCAACGGAGGGCACTTCGTAGACGCTGGCTCCCGGCAACACTGCACAGGCTCTGGCCCTTGGGCCATTAGACTGGCCCATGGAAATGTTTCCCAAGTGACTGACCTTTGCATTCCCATTTCTGCTCCCGCTGCAGACCAAGCCAGTGGAAACACTGTTGACTGGACCTACAGCCAGGGCATCAAGTACTCCTATACCTTTGAGCTCCGGGACACCGGGCGCCACGGCTTCCTGCTGCCCGCCTCCCAGATCGTCCCCACCGCCCAGGAGACCTGGCTGGCCCTTCTGACCATCATGGAGCATGTCGTGACTCACCCCTACTGAACTGGCCCTTGGGCACTCTCCTCTTCCTCTGCCCTACCCAGGCAACCCAATAAATTCTGAGTGTACATAGAACAGAATCTTGGGGCTTGCATGTGGGAATGCATGTGGTGTGTCTGCCTTTTCAAGCTGGGACAGAAGTGGGTTAGTTCCTGCAGGCCTCACTGGAAATGTGTGTGTGGTTGGACGAGATGACCCCTGCATTCCCCCTGCATTCCAAGTCCTGTGAAGTTGTATCCAAGTGGCGTCTGTTTTAATTAGACCACCCTGAGCTCAGCTCTTCAGTGGGGTGATTTGTTCATACCTTAGTAGCAAGCAGCAGCCACAGCTGCTAACCAAATGCCCGGCACCCTGCAGTGCAAAGGAATTCAGCTTGTACAATAGTCTAGCTGGCTGGATCCATTCATCTACAAAAGCAATATCCTTGAGTATGAAACAGAACAATCCTGGTGGCCACCGCTGTCCCAAATAGATGTTGCAGCCGGGCAAAGCCAATTTCTATAAAGCAAAATATGATCTCCCACTCCTGAATTGAATTGGAAGAAAACAATTGGGTTACATGGAATCATTTACTGAAGATAAAGAACTAACACCAATCCCAAGACATTTTATTAATTGTAGTATATCATGACGACTTTGCCTTAGGGGACAGAAGCAGTTTACTTTTCATTTGCCACCTCCTTCCTGGCAGCCTCCCTTACAGAGCTCTCCTGTGCTACCCACCCCCGCTCCTCACTGTTCAAGAACTTTCTCACAAATAAGGGTCTCCTACTGATGCTCCCCACAGCTCCTGAAATTTGGCTTTGCTCCCCTGGCTTGGAGATGCTGAGGGTGTGATTTCATAGTGGGGAGCTAGCACAGTACCTGGGGAATCGCAAGGGTTTTTCAAAGCTAGAATCTACCTTTTGTTTCTTTCACATATTTTAAGATGTGGCTCCGGAGCTCAGGGATACTCCCACAGAATCATTGGGAAGCGGGGGAGGGGGTTGTGGCTCCCCAAACAGGGAACCATGGGTGAGAACAGCAGTGAGAACACCCAGGTCCACTGACGGAAAAGTCTTTCTTTCTTTTTTTTTTTTTTATTTACCGGTCTGAATTTTATTTTATTTTTTTTAAATAATAAATTTTATTTTTATATTCCCCATGCAATTGCAACCCCCCCATTCTTACCCCAATCCCTCCCCTCCCGCCCCCCACCCCCAAAAAGTGTCTCTGGTTCATAGTTTTTTGTTGATTTTGATTTTCACTTTCTTATAGTTATTCATTTTCCTGGTCCCTTATTTAAGTTTTCTAGATTCCTGCTATGAGTGAGACCATCCTGTATTTTTCTTTTTCTTTCTGGCTTATTTCGCTGAGCATGATCCCTTCCAGCGCCATCCATGTTGCTTTCTTTACCACATAAAATGGCCTGAAGCGCAAATGCTTCTTTCTTCAGGAGGAATTTTCATCCTGGGTCCCATTTTAATATTGTTTTTGCTACCAACCATTCTAAAATAACAAAACAAAAACAAAAATAAGAATGAGGGTAACTAGACAGAGGATACATCGACTTTTCTGTACTTATTTATGAGACAAGATAAAACGGTGTTTCAGTCTGAAACGGAAAGATGACCTAAAGATTGCACAAAGGCTTCCTTCAAGTTCTCTTTCAGGAGACTTTCCCATCAATCTAACGAATGAGAAATTGTAGATAAACTGAAACCCATGTCAACTGCTCAGTTTGGGTGAGTAAAAAGCTGATGTTATTTTTTTGTTTCATAAAGACCGATCAGCAAAAAAAAAAAAAAAAAAAAAAAAATTAAGTTAGCAAGATACTTTGTCATTTTACACAACTGGATACCTTTAAGGGCAGAGTTGCTTCATTTAAAATAAACTGGTCACTAAGAGCAGGACCACTTGTTTGGCATTCAGTCTCTGAAACCATCCGCAGTGCTTGACTGAGAGATCCACAGCAGGTATTGTTCAATGAATCTCCTCCACTTTTACTAACGACTTCATAAACTTTATAATGTGTATTGAGGCTTGCAAGTTCATTGGAATTCCCAGAATTGCAACTTAGAAGTTAAGGCCCTGAACAAATAAGAGTCTTAAGAAAGTTGAAAAGACAAGGAATGAGGTATCAGAAAGAAAATTCCATGAGGGCAAGGATTGCGTTATGTTGTTTTAACATTCAGCCCCCACTGGCTGGCCCAGCACACACACATCATGTGCACTTAATAAATACGTGTGAAATGGAGAAACAGAAGTCACCAATACTTTTTAAAGTTTTTTCCAGAGTGGGAATAGCTTTACATTTCGTTTGCAGAATTTTTTTTTACATGTTTTATATTTTTACAAATTTGTGGGTAAATTTTTTTTAATAAATAAAAGCATAAAGCTGAAAGAATTTTAGAAAATACTGTAGTGCATACAAAAAAGTATCAATAGTCTTGAGGGGGAAAGAGCTCTTATAAGGGGTTAAAAAAAAAAGACTAACATTTCAGAAGAAAAATTGTAATTCCCAAAAGAAGAAACACAAAAAGCCAATAAAAGTATGAAAGATACTGATCCTCTGGGTGATTTTTTTGCACATTAAAGAAAAACAGATAGATCATTTTCCCCCCATCAGATTGACAAAGAATAAAAAGACTGAAAACTCAGTGTTATCAAGGGTATGAAGAAATAAGACCTGTCATACACTGCTGGTGGGAGTATAAATTCTCACCACCTTCCTGGAGGGCAATTTGGCAATATAAATCACAATCTTCAATGCATTGCCTCTTTGACCCAAAAAAAAATCCTTTTGGAAGAATCTTATAAAAATATTTGAGCAAGTTCAAATCCATGGATGTCCAGGATGGCAATGGTAAACAACGAAAATAAAAAGCACCTAAATAGAAACCAGCATTGATACCAGTCTGATGTATTTTCACGAGGGAATATTGTAAAGTTGCTGAGGTCTGTTGACATGGAAAAATGGTCACAATATACGGAATGAAAGAAGTTGGCCACACGATGGAAATGTTCTAAAATTGGATTGTGGTGATGGCTGCACAGCTCTGAAAATTTACTAAAGATCATTGAATCGTGTACTGAAAATGGGTGAATTTTATGGTTTGTGATTTGTACTTTCATAGTTTTGTTTTTTTTCTTTTTAAAGCTGGCCACAAACCAGTATGTTGAATATAAATTCCTTTTTTATTTGAAACACACACACACCTTATGCCTGGAAGGACCTAGTCCCCAGTGATAATTGTGGTTACCGTGGGAAGGGTGGTGGTTTTTCTGAACTTCTTGCAATGAGCTTTTATAATCAGGAAAAAAAAAAAAAAAAGCAAATATTTCCAACACACAGGTAACCTGTGTATAAAGTTATGTAATAACAATTCATTATCAACATCAAACACGTAGAGGCCATCTTAATTTGTGCCCAGATCCTTTTTGTATAGGCATTTCTTCTGCTCTGCCATCACGTTTCACTATCTTGCCCAGAAAAAAATGTGATTGTCTTATCGTTGGAAAAATTCACATTCCAATGGAAAGAGCTGTTTTACTGCCGTGGGAAGGACTTACTCATGTGCCCCAGTTGGGGGCCAGTCCCTAAGCACGTGGCCATAAGTAAGGTGAAAACTCCCAAGCACCCTCTCTGCTCATGTTCTGTTCCCGTAGCAATCTGGGAGGGAATTGATTATGCTAATGTCTATTCTCCAGGATTTTCCAAAAATCTTTATTTTTAAATAAACTCATTTTCCTTTTTCATAGACCATTATATATGGTTCTCGGTGTGGACTATGGGTCATGTTCCATGAGACTCCTTCGGGTGGTCTTTTGAATCGACACTTGGATACGCATGTGCAACTTTCTGGCTTTGGCCAGAAGTTAAAATTGAAATGCCATTGAATACAATCCAGACCTGACCTCACTGGCCCGCCAGGGCAGGGCTATTGGTCATCTTAGCAACTGTTGCAAGAGCAAGTGGGACTAGGTGGATTTGAAGATGCTGACGATCCTTTCTTGAAGGACAGAAACTTGGTCTGGAACACACTAAGACCCCGACGCTGCGTGTGGGAAGCTGATGTGACCAGCCATCGATCCAAATTGGCCAGATAAAGGAAGAGCTGTGAGCAAAAAGCACAGAGGCCCGGCAAATCTGAGAAGCTGTCAAAGGGTAATGAATTCTCCCCAAAGCTTTCCCATCCGCATTAATTTGGCAACTCAGACTGTGAGCATCATCTAACAGTCCCAGAGAGGGCGACTGCCAAATGTTTGTTGCCAAACTAAAAGAAGAAAATTAAAAGTCTTCTGCTTCACCACAGGCGCAGTGATCAGCTACCTTTTCAGCAGTGGGTGACTGAGCTCTGTTAACACAGACTGAGGCACAGAGGTTTGCCTCTGCTTCCTCCCCTGAAGCCCCTGCCGGTGGCCACGAGCCAATTCCCACATTTTATGTTTCAGCCTAAATCGGAAACATCACCACACAGGAAAGAAAAGATCAGACACAAATCATATCAATATGGTTTATTGGATGAATAGGTCTGCCGAGCGGGAAAACAACTTACTTCTCCACGCTCCCCCCTACAATCTTATCAGGACTTTATAACTCCCATGCCTTCCGTAGTATCCCATGAGGTGTTCATTAAGAAACAAGGCCAACCTGAGGAACCCCGGGGCACCAGTCTTTAAGCCGGGGCACCAGCCGCACAGAAATGTGGGACACATATTCCCAGGGGTGGATGTTTTGGTCCCAGAATTTCCACCCCGTTTTGGGCTGGCGGAGGAAAAAAGCTGTCAATGGGCCCCTGGGTGACAGGAGGGGAGGGAAGCCAGCAGTCGAGAGAAGGTTCTGTTCTCGTGGGAGCAGTGGATGCATGGCCCGGGAGAGCTCACCCAGTGGGGAGCACAGAGCAGAGGTCTGAACAGACTTGCTCTGGGACCGCAGCTCTCGGGCTGGACCCCGGCTTCCCAAACTTAGAACTCAGTGATTCAGGGTGAGTTACTACCTTTCCGCTGGACCCTCAGTCTCCGATCCTGAAAATGGGGGTGCCTACCTCCCAGGGCTGTTGTGTGAATTAAATGAGTCAGTAATTATAAGGAAGAGTCCAGGAAACCACTTAA